AAAAAAAAAGGTCCTGTGAGGGACTGCCTGTCTCTCCCAAAAGCCCTTTCTGCTAACTGTGGACTCTGCAGTCATCATTCGGGCAACCAACACAGGCTGCACCCCTTGCTGCACCCAGCCTGCCTGTGCCAGCTGCTGGGCTTCGTGACCAATGGCAGTCAGGCGGGTCCACGTGTCACAGGAGTCTGTGGGCAGTGACCCAGCGGCCAGGATACAACAGCAGTGCCCACGACTGAGAAGGGCCATGCCCCCCACCCCCCAGGATTGCTGGTGCTCAAGGGGACGAGAACAAAGCACTTATTACATAATATGAGGTCACAATGTACCAGGCGCTGTGGAGAGGAGACAGCAGGACAGAGGGCCCAGAGGGCCACAGTGAGTGTGCCAGGGAAGGCCCTGCCGAGGGAATTCGACTTGAGCCAAGGGCCAGCAGGAGGCTCCCTGGTGGGGGGGGGCTGCAAAGGCCCAGGGGCAGCACAGAGCTTTCGGGAGCGGGTGACACACAGAGGCTGGAACAGGGTACTTTTTTTTTAATACTTTAAGTTCTGGGGCACATGTGCAGAACATGCAAGTTTGTTACACAGGTATACAGGTGACATGGTGGTTTGCTGTACCTATCAACCCATCATCTAGTTGTTTCATTATTATACTTTAAGTTCTGGGGCACATGTGCAGAACGTGCAGGTGTGTTACATAGGTATATATGTGCCATGGTGGTTTGCTGCATCCATCTTCCTGTCATCTACATCCCCCTCCCCCTACTATCCCTCCCCTACCCCCTCACCCCGACCTGCTGACAGGCCCTGGTGTGTGATGTTCCCCTCCCGGAACAGGGTAGATCTTAAGGGGAGCAGCTGAGCAGGAGGCTGGAGCAGAGCCAGGACAAGTGCTTTCGGTTTAACCCTTCAGCAACGGGAAATTGCTGGAGTGTCACAGGCTGGTTTGGTTTCTATAAGAATCATCTCACTGCTGAGGACAGAGGAATACTAGGGGAGCAAGTGTGGCTTCGGAGACAGCATTGAGAGGCTTGGAAACAACCCAGGGCAGAGACACAGGTGGCTTGGACCAGGGAGGGAATAGAGGAGGGAAGTGGTGAAAAGGGCACTCTAGTTCCTAGATGCTGAGGTATGACTGGTTCAGAACAAGCTACCAGCCGGGTGCGGGGGCTCATGTCTATAATCCCAACACTTTGGGAGACAGAGGCAAGAGGATCACTGGAGCCGAGGAATTCAAGACCAGCCTGGACAACACAGCAAGATCCCGTCTCTATAAAAAATTTTAACAGCCGGGCGCAGTGGTTCACGCCTGTAATCCCAGCACTTTGGGAGGCCGAGGCGGGTGGATCACGAGGTCAAGAGATCAAGACCATCCTGGTCAACATGGTGAAACCCCGTCTCTACTAAAAATACAAAAC